ATCTCCTTTTATTCATCCTCTCTATATGTCCAAACCATCTCAACATACCTTTCTCAATCCTCGACACTACATCTTCTTTCACTCCACAACGTTCCCTAAAATTAACTTAATAAACTTTACTTAAAGTTTTAAGTCAACTTCGCACTGTACGTGTGCGCCCGCACGAGGTATTTTGTGGAAGAGCCACACTGCAGGGGCCAAAGAGCTGCATGTGGCTCGCGAACCACAGTTTGCCAACCACTGCCCTAATCAATATGTACAAAACATTCCAAGTCTTAAATTCAATTTTGAAGGGCTCATAGATATCGCCACTCACCCTTATAGGCTGCATTGTGGCCCCACGCCCAAATTCATATGTTGAAGCCCTAACCCCATTCTCCTGTGACTATATTTGGAGATAGGGTCTTTTTTTAAACTGGGGATGCTTTGGTCCGCAGGCCCACGCTCTATCCACTGAGCCAAACAGGCTAGGGCTGGAGACAGGGTCTTTATAGAGGTACTATTACATCTATTTAGAGAAAAGGACACTGAGGTTCAGCATGATTAATAACTTGCTCTAAGTTGTCCAGACGTCCAGGGAAGCCCAGAACTTAAACCCCTGTCTATCCAACTCCAAGGCCCATGCAAAAACTTATTCTCTACTTGGCTGGGCCACATCTCTACCCCAAGCCCCATCACCATGGGAACCACAGGACACTGCCTCAGGCACTCACCCAAAACCTTTAGAAAGACTGTTCCCTGGGCCTTCTCGGGGGTGACCACCACCTCACATCGGTACTCTCCTGCGTCCCTCGGCTTGACTCCAGAAAGGTGCAGTGAGGCGTCCCCTTTCTCTAGCCCCACTGGAGACACGCTGGCTCCGGCTCTGAATGCCTTTTGATAGTTTCCATACATTTCAAACACCTTGTGCTCTGTTTCATCTACCTGATGCTTCCGATACCAGATAACACCCATACCCTTGATGTTCAGGGGTGTGGAACCAGGGACCTTGCAGGAGATGGTGACATTGTCATTCAGCAACACAGTCTGATTCTTGCCTTCCATCTCCACTATCAAGAAATCTGTGGAAAGAAGAAAATCCAGTTGTGGGAGAACCTTGGAAAAAAACTTAGGCCTTGTACTCTCAGACACTTTACGGTATAATTAAAAACAAATTCTTTGCCCTAGCGGGCCCCAGTAGGGGTCATGTAGCAGGCAGCCTATCGATGAGCCTCTCGTTATTAATATTTCTCTCTCATGCTCCTTTCCTCTCTGAAATCAATAAAAAATATATATCTTTTTAAAAAGAGCTTACTATGTAGCAGGCACTCTACCTGACCCTTTATAAAAAACAAAACACAAAAACAAATTCCTTTGGGGGGTCAGGGGGGGTGCGGAGGGTATCTCAGGTACAGAGGCCCTTAGTTCATGGCCCCTCCTTAATCCGCATAAGATCCTCCAACTTTGTTCTTCCTTTTCAATATTGTTTTGATTAGTCTGGTGTCTTGCAATTTCTTACAAATTTTTAAATCAGTTTAATTGATTCCTACAAT